GTAATGGTATGTTATCTGTGACAGCAAATGATAAGCATGTAACAGAGAGAGCTGACTGCTTTGGCACTGGCTTTGTCATTGTCCTGGTAGCTCATTCAAGATAATTAGCTGCGGGAAAGTGGAGTGTCTTGTCCCTTTCAAGCCTGTTTGTTGATCAAAGGCATTTGACGGACTCGCTAATCCCCTTTGACTGCCTGGAGAGACACAGTGGCATCAGAGTGTGGAGTGGCAGGTGACACACACAAGGACTTCCAACAACATAAGGCTGTTTGGCATCACTTGAGCTCATGTCTTATCAAACTGTGTTTATTTAAAGGATAAGACATGTGTTATTCCATGTTTTCCCTTTGGTCACAAAAAGGCCAAAACCAACAGTTTGTTACTTGAATGTCTGTCTTTTCATAACAAGTCAGAAATATACTTAAAAAGCTCAATAATGTCTGGGCACTATAGTTATTAAAAAGTGCAGTTAATGGGGACTATGTTAAATATGTTGAATTGCAGATTAATACACATTTTTTATTTCTGGCCTGGCCCATATGTACACAGGTATTTTAATTTTATCTTTTTGAAAAGGATTTTTCCACCTTTGTTCTCAAAAAACAAACAAATAAACAAAAAAAAAGACAAATAAATAAATAAAATTCCCGTCCACAAAGGCGCTGTTAGGACACGGTCACACATGACCAAAATTAACAATTTTTCATGGCATGGAGTTTTAACTTTGGTGAACTACTGTAGGCTACTGTACTCTCTGTCATACTGTGAGATCTTTACAGTTCATATGTGACACATTTCAGTGCAGAAATTATTTCATTTTGAAAGCCCCTGACTGGATGTCACAGTAACTCTCGTGTCTCGTGCCGCTGTTGATTTGATTAAGATGTCTAACGTCTGTTTTGAGAACTCACCACATGCATTAAAAACCTGGATAGCTCTGAAATGACTGGACAAAAATAATTTGTAAGTTTCTATGAGTTTTTCGACTATGATCAGTGATCAATTATTTTTGAGTTAACAATGTACTCAGTCTGTGCATCTGTGTCCATGGCAACCAGTCACTTTAAAGACTGAATGGGGATTATATGCTCCTGTTTTTGCCATGGACATGATGTAAACCCAAGATACTCACATTACTTGTCCATTAATAATTTTTCTTATTACTTCAGTAAATGATCAGGTGTAGTAAATGAAGCTTATATCCATAAATTGTCAAATAAGCAAGCAAGTAAGTAAGTAAGTAAGTAAGTAATTAAGTAAGTAAAGTTTATTTATATAGCACCTTTCACAGAAAGAATTCACAAAGTGCTTTACAGTAAAATTAGAAAACAGTAGGATACATAGTATAAAAAAGAGACACAACCACAAACATATAAACAAACTGTCATAAAACCCACGCCTAACTAAAGGCCTGTCTAAACAACAAGGTCTTGAACTGCTTTTTAAAAGACTCAACAGAATTTAAAGTGCGAAGAGACAGTGGCAAAGCATTCCAAAGTCTGGGGGCCACTGCTTGACAGGCTTGATCCCCTCTAGTTTTAAAATGAGTGTGGGGGATGATGACCAGCAGGCACTGACTCAAGGATCTAAGAGAACGTGTGGGATTATACAATTTCAGTATCTCAGAAATTTAAGCAGGAGCTTGACCGTTTAAAGTTCTAAAAGTAAGAACTAAAATTTTAAAATGAATCCTGAGATGAACTGGGAGCCAGTGTAGTTCTGCTAAAACCAGTGTGATGTGTGCTGTTTTACTGGTGTGAGTTAAAAGTCTTGCAGCAGAGTTCTGAACAGCCTGGAGGCGATGAAGTTTTTTCTGAGTCAGACAAGTAAAAAGGCTGTAAGCGGGAAGAAATAAAAGCATGAATGATCATCTCAAGTTACGCCTTTGACAGCAGGGTTCTCAGCTTAGAGATGTTCCTCAGCTATAAAAAAGCAGTTTCTAACCATTTTTTTTGGTGTGATGCTTGAGAGACATAGCTGAGTCGAAAAAAACACCCAGACTCCGAGGACTCGACTGGATGGACGAGTCTAGAGTGCCCATGTGATGCCTAATAAGGGGGATCTGATTTTCTGGGGCAATAATCAAAGTCTCTGTCTTGTCCGAGTTTAACTGAAGAAAATTTGCGCTTAACCACTGTTTGATGCTAGTCAGACAGCTGACTAAGGAAAACAGTTTATATAACTCGGAGTTCTTGAAAGAGCAGTACAACTGGATATCATCTGCATATAGATGATAGGAAACAACAGAAGTAACAGCTGTATCTGACTGCTGAGTGTTTTCAGCTTGGCTGCTCGTCAGCACAAATACAGGTAAGAGAGGCAATAGGGAGTCCGACAACTGTTAACATATTTGCAAATACTGTTTAACACCCTGTGTTGTAAGTCAAATGTCCCAGTTTTTCACAAATTAAGTGTGGCAACCCTAGTTGCCGTGTAAAACCAGCTGATGTTGTATGATATTGCCCATGAAAGAACAAACTGCCCCACATGAGAGATGCTGCCTGGCTAACAGTGAGTCAGAAGACAGGTATGGAATGTAATGTCCCAATTACATCATATTTTGCAGTATTAATTAGCATGCTGGCTAACATTACCTAGCAAGCTAGCTTTCCATGTGCTTCACACTTGGCACTGTCCACATTCAACACACATAGTGCCTCAGCAGGCAATGGTCACTTGCCTGCATTCACTCACGTGTGACCATGCCCTTCTAAAAAAAAAAATCTGTAATTGTATGTATTGTATGTAACTAATAAACATGCAAAAACACTTTAAATTGAAGCACGGTCAAGAGCATGTCAAACCAACAGGCAGCAACATAATCCTAACCCTAAAGAAATGTTGGCCAATTACACAAGAAGATGTTGGCTGATCAGAAGTCTGAAAAAAGCTGTTACCGGAAGGTCACCTGCAGCAGTGACCTCTGTAGCACAAACTGATGTCTCTCTTCCTCAGTATAGTGGAAAAATATCTGTACATTTATGTGCAAACATTTAAAAAGTCCTGTTCCTACCAGCACTACCTCTGCAACTGCATGAAATGTCACCTCATTTGTGACGTGTCAAAGGAGACATACTGACGTTACAAGCCAAAAACTCTTTTCCCTGTCTCTACATGTCAGCACTGACTGTGTTTACAAGGTCTTTAGTATCCCGGTTTTGAGGCTTATCCCGGCTTTGAGCATATCCAGGATATGATGTTTACATCGAACACAGAGAAACCCGGTTATTCATATCCCTGTATACATGATAAATACCAGTAACCCGTTTTCTGATCACTGCATCCTATCTGCGCAGGCATGTGTTACGTCTTTTACGTCTTTTGTTTACAACAGATTGAGCGGGAAATGTGATACATGTATTATATTTAGAAGTGAGACAAAAATGAGACCTCTGTGGCTTCTAGCGGGCTTAGCATTACTTAATACCCACGTCGCATTACAGCTATGGCTCATCCACTTCATTTTCAGCAATGGGAGGAGAGAGCGACGACAAATATTGAATACGTCACCATCTTTGATTCGGCTGTCACTACCACTACGCAGTACAAGGCAACAGTGGATGAAAATACGTAGCCGTGACTGGTGGGATAGGATCGTCCTCATGGAGTTTACAGATACAGAGTGGAGAGAAAACTTCCGAATGAGTAGGGCATCCTTCAGCCGGCTGTGTGACGTAGTTAAACCATTCATGAAACCAGAGGAAGCTGTAGTACGCGCACCAGTCCCGCTACCTATGAGAGTGGCAATAGTTTTATACAAACTAGGTAGTTGCGGGGAGTATCGCTTAGTAGCCAACCAGTTTGGAGTTCACAAGAGTACAGTGAAAAAGTTTGTCTACAGGTTCTGTCGCGGGATGGTGGACAGAGTCATAGGGCAGTTCATTAAAGTCCCCAGCCAAGAGGAAGCCTTCCAAATAGCTGAGCGCTTTCAAAGAGCCTACGGGCTTCCCCAAGTGATTGGCTGCATTGACGGAAGCCACATCCCCATCCTGCCCCCTACTGACGGCTATCGAGACTTCATCAATAGAAAAGGATGGGCTTCTTATGTGCTACAGGGTGTTGTAGATGACCAATACTGGTATGCCCCCCCACCCCTCTCTTATTATGACAGAAATAAAATAAATGAAATGAAAACATATAGCAAAGTTTGGCAACACACTTGTGACAGATAACTCAGATAGCCATCTAACAAAGCCCACTTTGTGATTCAGTTTTTGGAGTGTGAACTGCAGAGTGCCTGGCAGTGCCCATGATGCCAACGTTCTGCGTCAGTCAGAGCTGTTCAAAAAGGCTGACCAGTTGCCCAAGGCAAGTTTGCAGTGTAAGAGTAAACAAATTCAAAGCTTACTTGCTTACATAGGTGATATTTTCTGTGTATGAGTCTGGAGTGTTTTGTCCCAGCTATTATCAATCTTTTTTTGTTTGCAGGGAGTTGTGGAAGTTGATGGTCAGGGTGTGAATTACTTCATCATAGGCGACCCTGCTTATCCACTGCTGGAGTGGCTTATAAAGGGATATACACGCTATCCAGGACTAACCCCTGAGCAGGAGTCTTTCAACGTTTATCTCAGTGCTGCCCGTACCTGTGTAGAAATTGCGTTTGGGAGACTAAAATCAAGGTGGAGAATTCTTTTAAAGAGAAGTGATCTGCACTACACATTTTCTCCTTACCTCATAGCAACATGCTGCGCCCTACACAACTTCTGTGAGAAAGAGAAGGACCACGGCAACCCAAGATGGATGCATGAAGCAACAATTCTGGAGGAACAATTTCCTCAGCCTGCAGATCATCCTGTAAATGCTGTCAGTGCTGATGGTCAAGCAATTAGAGAGGCACTCAAAAATCATATGGTGACAAACTTTCCCCTTCGTCAAGGTGTGCGTCCCTGAGCTGTTGTCATGACAAGGAGCTGCTGACAATTGTTGTTGACAAACACTAGTATATTCCCCAGCAGTATCACATTTTATGAAGAAAATAATAATAATCAAAATGCCCTGTAAATAGTTCATCATTTTTATTAACAGTTGCCATTCATTAAATATCAAAAAATATTGGCCAGCTGGTTAACAATATAATAAACAAAACAATTTTAAAAAACCTAACAAAACCTGTCACAATGCTGTCCATAAAGTTAGAAAATATTACACAAAAGTGCAAATGACAGCAGCTTAGTCCTTAAAGTGCAAAATGTAAAAAAATGAACATGCTCTTTAAGCAAACATTTTCTGAAACACTTTAAAGTTCAAAAAAAGAGTTTTCAGAGTTGTCCTCCATTGCTCCTCCTCTCCCCTGTTGAGAGGTGTCAGGTGCAGGATAATAAGATGGAGAGACTTCGTAATGCATATTATTAGGATTAGCATAGGGAAACGTTGGCTGAAAAGATGGTGGAATGTACGGGCCTCTCATGCCGCCAAGTAATGGTCTCAGCAGGGACTCCATGGAGCGGCTGCTTTGCTGCATCACTTCAGTGAGAAGTTGACGCTCCCGCTCGAAGCTCTCTCGCAGCTGATGCTCCATCCAGGTATTTTGGGCCTCCTGGAACCTTTCTAGGAAATCCTGCTGGCGGCTGAGGGTGTTGTTGAGCCTTCTGCGCCTTCTCCTGTCTGAACACAACAACACATGTAACAATTTCAGTAACGTGCTTTAAATATGGTTTGAATTGAGCAAGTTGGGTGTATTCTTCATGTGGCATCAGCCTTACTTGTTTATATGTAATGTACTAGTTTGTGAAATGTAATCTGCCACATGTAATTTGGATTCACCATTCGTTACTTGTTGAGATAACTTGCATTTACTTAGGTGTGTGCCTCGTTCATAATACACTGATAAGTCACAACATGGTGATAAGTTGTTGTTAAATGTAGTTACAGCAAGCTGTGATGCTCTTTGTCTGTTCTGACAGCTCTCTATCATAACCAGTATGGCTTTTGTCAGTTACTCAGAACCTTACACTGACCGTTTTTACAAGTGAGTGAAGGGTCTGTTCTTGAAGTTGATGTGTTATGGGGTGTCTCTGGCAATGCTCAGTTCTTACCAAGGTGGTCCGAGAAGAACAATAGGTGAACATGTGACAGGGTTATGGACACCCAAGGCTAACTGATACATGTGGGGAGCAAAGGCTAGTCTGATCAAACACAAGACATACTGAAGCACAAATAGACAAATAGCTGAAAAGATAAATACTTATTATGATAGAAAGCTGTCAGAACATGCATAGTGCAGTACAGCTTGCTGTAACAGTATTAAACAACAACATTAAAACAGTAAAATCATCTATTTAGTGACTGGATCTAATGTTAGGTCTGATCGTTGTATGTGTCTGTTTAATTTATGTGTTGGAACATACTGAGTTAGGTTAATAAAATTCATTATTCACCGCTTAAGAGAAAACCTAAATAAAGTGTTAAAAGACTAAAAAGACTACAGTAAAGATTATCTTGTGCGCCATAACTTGTGATACTGTATGTCACCAGTTACCTTGTGTTGTGGACTCTTGGGAGGGTCTCTCACATGATGCATAAGTAGGGATCCCTTCAGCAGATGCAGGCAGGCTGTCAATATTTGCGGATGCAGCAGAATCCTCAGTGGCCTCAGCTGGTGCAGGGGTACTGGCTCTGCTTAAGTCCTCCTCTGCGTCATCATCCATATCTATGGAAAGAAATATTAGGAATGATAAATGTTTTGCATCTGCTTTTACTTGTTCACGTGTGAAAAATACAGTAAATATAAAACGAATAGTGGCCAAAGTATGCGTAAAAGTACAACACCACACTGCATGCAACACCACACTGAAAATACTTCACTAGTAAATGTTTTTGGTTTTTGTATTTTAAGAAAAACTTATTTGTTAAATGTATGTAGTTATAAGCAAAGTGTACTTCACTATCAGAAGTAAAAGTACTCATGCAGTAAAATGGTCCAAACTAGTTGTTTTTTTTTAACCTACCTCAATGTCCTTAGATTCATACTTAAACTGCACTAATGTGTATGCTGCTACACTTCACTACTACAAACTGCTGTGTGCAAATCTGTATAAATAGTTTTGGGTACTTCAATCTAGAGTAAAGCTTGGATTTGTATAGTACAGTATTGTTGTCATGAGAGAATCATGTGTATCAAATAGTTCTTTTGAGCTTAAAAGGTAGGAAGATTCATTCAAGATAAGAAGATAAATGATTGTCACTAGACCTGAAGTGAATGAATAAGTGTAATCTTATCAGTGCTGCCTTATAGCTGTGAAGTAAAAAAGCACAACATTTCTCTCTGAGATGAGCAGGGAAAGTATAAATTAGCATTATGTTAAGTGGTAACATTAGCTAAATAACTCACCTGGGTATAAGTCATCTCCCTGTGGAGGCTCTGCTGCATTCGAGAAGCCGATGTCAACACCACTGCTGGCTGCTGTTGCCAGAGGACGGTGACCTAACATCTCGTCCAGTGTTTCGAAAAATTTGAAGGTTGCTGGATCAGAGCCACTTTTCTGGTTCTGGCGCTTGGCTAAGTAGTAGTGCTTCTTCAATATTTTCCACCGTGACCTAACTTGTTCAACGGTGCGAGGTGGAAAACCAGCGTCACGTAGCTTGTCCGCAACAGACTTGAATAGGTCGGCATTTCTGTGTCTTTTGCCGTCTAAACACTTAGTTATGTTGAGTTCTTTCATTACTTTCAGGCAAAATTCAGTCTCTTCGTCGCTCCAAAAATGGGAAGCTCTCGTTGCCGCCATGTTTCTTCTTGTTTATCTGGTGCGTCACTCACTCTGGCGCCTGCGCACAAGGCAGGCAGCCGTCAGAAACCGGGATAAGGCGTATACATGCTCCAGTATCCCGGCTTCTATGAGAGTACTCCAGGTGACAAAACCGGGTTTCTTGAAACCGGAAAAAGGGCATAACCCGGTTTCTGAATTCGGGATATGGTGTTTACATGCACAAACACAAAAACGGGATACTTAAAAAACCCAATCAAAACCGGGATACTAAAGACCTTGTAAACACAGTCACTGAAAACTGAGTTTCTGAAACACCCTGGTTGGGGTTTTACAAAGGTTAATGTTTAGTGACCTAAAACAGTTTGTGTGTGGATGAAAGATTTTTAAGAAGTGTATGTATGGACTAGGCCTTAGTGAGGGTTTATAGCAGCAATGATGGTGTACATAGCATTGACTCGAATGAAAATACAGTATCTACATGTTTGCTGAAAACAGCAACCAAACAGATATGAACCTAGCTGGTGCTGTGATACCAAAACAATGAGCTGAAAGATGCTAAAATGCTCTGCAGAGATGAGAGAAACTGCGGGTCATATGTAACATCACACAGTAATTTTTTTCATTGACTGAAAAAAACATTGATTGGTGCAGCTTCAAGGAACTCATTCTATGAGACAGCCAATAAATCTAATTTATAAGGAGTGTTTTCAAGTGCTATAAATGACTGATTATCTGAAAAGAGAGAGTGGTGGCCACACTTCACACTTTTGTTCCTTCCTGCAATTCAGATTCTGAGGAGATAAATCCTCGACACAGTACAATGGCCAGTATCTACTCTGAAGCTTTTTTACACTCCTCTGTTCTCTGTCTTACTTCATCAATTTCTCCCTTTGTGATTTCAACAGAGGCTCTTAAGCTGACAACTTAAATGTGTCTTGAGGAGGACAACAAATACCATTTAAAATGGCAGCCTCCATCACTGGGGACTGTCGGTCCTTGTCTGCTGTTAAAGCCTTTTGGGAAATTAACTGAACAGCCAGAGTTTTCAAAGGACATCCAGTGGACAACACCACCAGTGCTCTCTGAGTAAGTTAAAGGCTTATGTGTTTTCAGTCTCTGACAAAGCTACATTTAAATTCAAATTGGGAATGTTTTGGGTTGGTTTTAACAGGCAGGCTTTGATCGATTGCCATGATTTAAAGTGTCAGGGTCCCATAAGGCCAAAGCTTTGCTCTGTGAAGCAAAAGATTAACTTTTGTGACTGGATTTGAAAATGTAAATTAGCAGCCTGAACAATTAGCCCTGACAAATCCCCATTTACATTCAGTCACTTTATGCAAATTGGGCAGACTGGATAGCTACCTGATCTAAAAGAGAGCATAAAGAAGCATTCAAGATGGATTGAAACCCAACTGCTCAAACAACCTCCAGAGGTGGTTTTTGCCTAGGATAGGTATCTCTGAAGGGTCGTAATCTTTACACTGAGACAAATATTCATTGGTTAACTGTTGCACATGTTTATTATCCTGCTTCCTACTCAGGGTTAACATATGGAAGTGGTTGGATCTTTGCGTTGTTTCAGGCAAGCGCTGCAATTTACCCAGTTTTTCCTCTGGATGTTGATTTATTATGAAAAATTAATGCTAGTAATTTGTAGGATTGCTGCTTTATGGCTTCATTAATCATTTGCACTATTTACAGAAATCTTAGATAACTGAAGTAAAATAGATGCGAAGATAACTGTATTTCTGTGACTCAAAATCCAGTCATATATTGATTTATTCAGAGCTGAGATCCCATTCACTTCAAACATGCATAACCTCCTGATAGCACGGCCCATATCTTAATTTAACCTTTTAGAAGTCCCTCTTAATGGCCCCTTTTTCAGTGCAAACACGCAGTGCTGGCGAGCTAATGAGGCTGTTGTGTGAATGACAAAGCTAAACCTGTGGAGTGGCAGTGTCTCTTTCCATGCTTCATCAGTGTCATGTCAGCAGCAGCAGCGCCGCACTTCTCTGTGGCACAGCTGCACTAATTGTTTTGTCAACCAGGATTCCAGCAAAGCAAATTGAATCTGGGTGTCAGAGATGTTCTTGTTGTGCTTCTAGCAAGGCAGTTAAACACGAGCTAAATCTCTGTGTATACATTACTGAAAGATTTACTCTGACATAAAGTGAGAAGTCATTGGAAAAAAGTATGTGCAGTGGTCTCATTAATACTTGGTCCATGCTCAGAGACTGTTTAAGAAAGATGGAAGCATAGATGGCGCCTATTCATTCTAATGGCATTGCTCATCTGGTGCATACAGTATAAAAAGTGGGATGAAATAGAGACATGTCGCCCATATTTATATAGTCTATGGTTTACGCTTGTTTTTTAAATAAAAACAAATATCTGCAACAGAGCAAAACTTTGCAGGTAATCGATGCAATCCACCATCATTCTACTACTGTTTACTAACATTGTGCATTGCGCAGTGATGACTTATCCTTTATTACAATGGTTCCAATCTAAACTGGTGAAAACACGGGTCAGTTCACTTGATAGCACAGAGGTTACTAGAGTCCTGAAATTAATCAGTTCAATAACCAGAGCTAATTTGGTAGAAAAGGGGTATCAGTCATCAAAACTTTGATTGATGACTGATGTAGAAACCAGATAAATATCTGATTATATTATGGGATCAGCATATCTCGTTTATAACTATGTAGACCACAGATATTGGCCTGGAGTTTAATTTAGGGAAAATAACCACATGTTAAATCATAAATCAAGTACTGGTCAGAAAAAGGATCAGCTAAATATTTTGGTCAAATCAATCCTTTGTATTAAAGCAACACTGACCTTTCTGGAAATTTTACACTTTTCTTTGTTTAGGTTAAAATGCTATTAATAAGCTGATGGCACACTAAAATGTAAGTGAATTCCACCAGAGATAAAAACTCATAATTATACCATTCTCATATGGTTCTATGAAAACTCTGACCAATCACTGCATTCAGACCAAATGCAATGATTGGCCGAGAGTCCTGTCTGTCTTCCTCACGTGGAGGCCTCCGACTGACGTAACTGCTTGCGTAACTTGCTTGTTGCCAGTCACCAGTACAATCTCACGTTAGCGTTTACGTTATATTATAAAACGCATCAGTCATCACTGACCCCAGATAAGTTTCAAAACACCAGCGTTGCGTTTGACTTTGCAGGTAACGTTATGTTTAGTTAGCTTCTTATATAACATTATATGACAACGCAGCATCCAGTTGCTAATGGCTAAAGTTAGCCTACTGTTGCGTATCCTCTGAAACATTAACATTATCTTCCTTGTGCGTTTCCACTTACTTGTAATGTTAACGCTATTATCTAATGTTAGCACTGTAACTTTATTCTAAAACTCATCAGTCATCACTGACTCCGTTTGAGTTTTAAAACTCCAGGGTTGTGTTTGACTGTCTTGGTTGTAATATTACACTCGCTCTCCTCTTCCCTGTATCTAACGTCACCTTGCCGCCTATGTCTATCATAAGGCCCGTTTCCACCGCAGGAATTAATTTTACGGGGCCGGGGCCGTTGGTGCATGTCTCCACCGCAGGAACCACGTCCGAAGGACAGAGTTCCGGAACTTTTACAGGGGCTAAACAAGTCCCTGCCTCGGAGTAGGTACTCAGAACGGCCCCGAAAGACTCCTGGCTGGGGCTTGGGGATTACTTGGTGCTGATTGGATATACTCAAGGGGGGATGTGACGACAAAAGAAAGCAACAAAATAGCCGGCATTTTTAAAAACTCAGCAGACGAGGGTTAGCTCGGTTCATATAGCTTTCGCCGCCATGTAAGAAAAACTCACTAAATGGCCCGTGAAAAAAATATTCTTTCCAGCGGATATCTTAGTTACAACATGATTGAGCTAGCAAAGCAGTTTTGTGTTGATATGTGTGGTATTTATTCAGTTTTGGGAAATCACGATGTCTAGAAAGCATCAGCTAACAGCAGCATCAAAGCTAACATCAGGATGTCATCTGTTAAAAGCCTCCCGTTGTCGGATACGACACGAAACTACTCCAGTTAGCTCAATCATGTTGTAACTAAGACATCCACTGGAAAAAATATTTTTTTCACAGGCCATTTAGTGAGTTATTACAGACACTGCTATCGGCTAACGGCGTCCCTACGTCGCCCCGGTCAAAATGGTCGCGCAACGATTATGTCACATCCAGAGGCAGCCCGTAACTTTACAGGAACCTTCCTCGTACTCCACTCAGTGGAGACACGGTGGTTGAGAGGGGCGAACGAGAGGACGTTCCTGTAGTAGTTCCTGCACCCCAAATAGTACCAGGAACTTCTTCAGTGGAAACGGGCCTATAGTCGTAATGAGGACGTAATGGAGGAAGGGGGAGTAGGCCTTTGGAGGGAGGTGGAGTTGCAGGAGGAGGGGGATGGGACTTTGGAGGGAGGTGGAGTTGCAGGAGGAGGGGGATGGGACTTTGGAGGGAGGTGGAGTTGCTGTGTGAAATGCAAGAAAGGTAAGAGTTGTTTCAATGGTTTGAAACTGAACAAACTGTAACTTTAAACTACATGCTTATGTCATTCGTAATATTATCCCTCTGCCCCGTGTCAAAACTACCTATGACACACACTGGACCTGATAAAGATATTAATCAATACGGGCAGCTCAACACTGCCAGGTGCTAAAATGTTTGTCTTGTTAAGCACTTTATGGTCAACACATTTTTAGAACAAAAGCTTTCTGGAGTTTTAGTACACACCTTTTTACGAGCAAGTTCCCCACAAAAAACATTTCAGCTATGAAGACTGCTCCCTCCCTCCAAACACAAAGAGCTCAAAACAAATAAATATTGTTCTTTCATCACTATAAATCACATCTAAATGTTTCTCAGAGGAGCTTAACTCGTCTCTGACTATTTCATGTTAACTATAGTCCACCTTCACAGAGATGGGAGGGAGACTTGTGTGGGGGGAAAAAGTTCTGATCATATTAATGCAGGTCTCAGTGGTTGCTGATAGAGGTCACTGAAGGTCACACATTACATAATGCCCCTCCAGGTTAAAGTGTATTAAATTAAAAAGGCTGAAAACTTGTTTCACCCTTGGGTATGTTTGGTTTAAACTTTACACCAGTGTGCACATTACACTGTGTGGTGTAATGAAATTGCCTCAGTCGTTGGAACGGTGTTCATACTCCATATCTGCCAAAGCACACAAGGGAGAT